GTTCAATATAATAAAAAGATGAAATAAAATATATAGACAATAAATAAAATACATGATTTGTTATACCGACCTTTAATGTATACCACTTAGGATTCGAATATACGAGGTCGAAATACAACCGTTTTAATTTTAGCAAACTTTAGCAAGCTAACTTTTTAAAAAATATATTTATTTTTTTTTTTTATAAAAATATTTATTGAATATTTATATTTATTGAAATATTTATTGATATATATATATTTATTGATATATATACATTTATTTCTTTCAATGAATATTTTTTTAATTAATTTTTTTTTTATTATTTTTAGTAATTTTTTTTTTTATATTAGCAAACTATTTTTAATTTTTTCTTTAGCAATTTTTAATTAAATATTTTTTAAATATTTTTAAATATTTTTAATTTTTTATATTATTAGCAAACTTATTTTGTTGCGAATGTCTTAGTTTGTTATTAAAATATTTTTACCACCCAACAATTATGTAGAAGTAGTTATCTATATATATGCGTATAAATTTTTATTATTTTTAATATCAAACATTAACCTATAAAATTTCTTTTCATATTATTATTTTTATTAATATAGAAAAAATATAAGTACAACAATTTTTGGATCGGAGAAAATGTTTACCACATTGTTTCCCCATACATTTACAATATTAACTTTACAAGGAAGAGTAACACAACAGTTTGTAATAATATATACATATAAATATCAATGTTCATATGGCTAATAAAAATATCTTTTATATTTTTATACACATATTATTGTATCGATATTTATATATATAAACAAGAACAGTTAAATATCAATGGGTGAACGCAATTTTGTAAAGATTTTTTTTTTTCGAAATCAATACGAAAACTCAGATTCACTGCTAAATTGTGTGGAGAAAAATTTTAGGGAGGGAAAAAAAAAAAAATTTTATTTTATTTTTATTTTTAAAATAAATAGAAAAATTATATTAATACCAAATACATATTTTATATATTATTGGATTTATATAATAACCAAATAAAAAAAATGTATAAAACACACGTATATCGAAAATTCAGAGTTGCAAAAACTCAGTCACTCACATTTGTAATAAAGAAAGAAGAACAAAAAAAACAAGACCAACTGTATATAACGTCAACTGATACAATGTTCTGACGAGTATAAAAACTCTGTATGTCTACATTTACATACCGACACTGTTCACTGTTGACGTTCACAGCAATAAACTAAATATTCATAAAAAAAAAACTCAGCGAAGAAATAAACAGCCATAACTTCCATGTGGCTACTGTTACACATTTAGCCCACACAAGACAAAACAAAACAAACAAAAAAAACGCAACGATTATTATTACGACGAAGCATTAAAGAATTGTGACATAAAAATAGATCAAACAACCAAACAAACGAACACAACGAGAATAATTCATGTCAATTGACACGAACACCCGCAAACAAAATTTTCTAAATAGAAATATATACGTTTATTTAGCACATTTTTTTTTTTTGATGATTATTATTTTATTATTTATTATTAATTCCTTATTATTAACTCTTACACAAAAAAAATAGTTTCCAAAAAAAAAACAAAAAAAATGTATTCTAATCAAAAACGTTTTCTTTATAAAAGGAATGCAAGAAGAACACGAAAATTCTAATTTATACAAATCATAATTCAATAAATAAATTATAAATGATCAATAAATTATAAATTTTTAATGATGCTTACCTGCATCCTACCGGCTGCGCCAATTTGTCGTGGTCCTAATGGGTTGTAAAGCAAAGACATGGTGTGTAGTATATAAACACTTTATTGAATTTCTTGTGTAGACACTATTGCTTAGGTATCTCTAATTGCTGTCGCTGTTTCTGCTGGCTCGTCCGTCGCTTTTGCAGTATGCCACTATTTGAGTGCGGTTGTTTTTGCTGTGGTTGTGGTTGTTGCTGATATTGAGACTTCTGTTGTCATCACTGTTGCTGCTGATGTTGTTGTTGCTGAAAATTATGTGGTTGCTGCACCTGCGTTGCATGTGTTGTTACCTCCGTCGTTGGTGCTCTAGTATGTGTGTGTATACTCTTGAGAAATTCAATTGTTGTAGTTGTTGCCTTTCAGTTTAGATTTTTCTTTAAATTATTCTTAATCTTTTGTTTACTGAATTCACGCAACTAAATTCAGACTACTGCACTTAGCCTATCAACTGTGTAATGGGCTCAGAAACTTATGTCACTTGCAATTTCTATTAGCTTTTATTATTAACAATTATTTTAGTGAGTTTGTTTATCTCGATGCTTGCATTTTTATTTCACCGTAGTTGGCTCAGACACTTATGTCATTTGCAATTTCTATTAGCTTTTATTATTAACAATTATTTTAGTGAGTTTGTTTATTTCGATGCTTGCATTTTTATTTCACCGTAGTTGGCTCAGACACTTATGTCATTTGCAATTTCTATTAGCTTTTATTATTAACAATTATTTTAGTGAGTTTGTTTATTTCGATGCTTGCATTTTTATTTCACCGTAGTTATTCTGATGTTTTACTGCACTGGCACTTTATTAGTTTTTCTCCGAGTCGATTTTAAAAGCACGGTGATCCCGACATGTCTCAACTAAGTTAAACGAGCGACTGCTAGTCAAAAGTTTCTGTACTTTTGCGTTAGCTTCAAAAGTAGCGTGTTTGCTGGTCACGTTTTGTAGTGTCAGCACATTCCACGCTCGCGTTGCGGGATCGTTGCCTTCTGCATAGTCTTATGCTACCGCATCGTAACATGAGACTTAGTGCCAAGGCTATATTTGCATACTTATTTAATAACGGCCAAACCGTTTTTTCCACACCCTATCGTGCACCTAACCACAACAT